ATTAGTGATAGAAACTTTGTCACCGTCATCGCTACTATCATTATCATCATGAATATTATAATTTTTTTTGTTAACGGAGCAAATTAGCTCATGGCTTATCGCACAGAAAATATACGTTCTGGATCATTTTTTTACTTCAATTCGAATGGTTGACCTTCCCACAAAAAGTGTGTAACTAAGCGGTCAGTGGCGCGATGCAAGGGATATGACTTAAAACTGTAATTGAATTAAAAGCCACATACTGAAACTTAACTTGCATGGTTATTATAAGTATCTATAAATGCTACTTTGTATTGTTATTTTTTGATTCGTTGAAATATCCATTCTATTAAACGTACTATATATATTTTAGTTTCATCAAACAATATTTCAGACTGATCGATGGTAGTGCAAGGATTACGAGGGAGTTTCAAATTCCAACAGCACATAATCAGATATGCATAGACTGCGCAATAAGTATCGATGTTTTTGACCGGAAAATCTTCCCGGTGAAAACCTGAGAAGTACGAGTGGTAAGTGTGATGAAAAGTCAGGCTTAATTGAGAGGAGTTGTTTGTGAAAAATCCCATACACTTTCTAGCTTGACCTGTGCGGCACTGTCTGGCAGTGACGGTGTTTCAAATGTTCTTAGAAGGTAGAAAGGACAGTTGATGACTTTTTCTAATACATACACGTACAAGATTGCGCGACGCAAAGACACCCTGGGCCTGGATAGATGAAACTAAATTTACAAAATATAAACCAATTAAACCATTCGAAGCTCAACAAAGCTCTGCACCAAATATATCAATACATAGAGTTTGCATGTACAAGCCGGTAGCTGAAGAAAGGGTTTCAAATATCTGGTGTTTTGCTTTTCAGTTAAGCTGTAAATCCTATTTAAACTCAGCGCAGCACTGATATGCATTTTATCAAAGGAAACAGAACTTGAAAGCTAACCTTTCTTGATCTAATTTCAAACAAAGTAGACATGAAGAGAGTCTACCGACTTGAGATAATTAAAGGATTTTTCACAACTTTAGCGATACTCTTAATCCATTAAGTTTAAGTAGCACCTGCTATTATTCCCAGGTGGAGAAAGATGATGCATTCCCATATGCAAGCAATGTAGATTGCCGCCCCGTCAGTTAAGGTTTTTGAGCTCTTTATGTCTGAGATTTTGGCCACCACGGTCTTTAATAAATCGGCTATGATTTTCGAGGGAAAGAACAAAAGTGCTTGTCTTTCAAGATCCCAATGAGTTAGAAGAAATAGCACAAGTGAAAACAAACGTGGCATTCAACCTTAATTCCTTGTTTTGTTTTTTTTTTCGTTGTTTTCAAGAAGGGGGATGGATTTTAGAGGTCAGGGGCCTGAAAGTCCCAGTATCTTCCGGTACAAAAAATTAAAGGGTTTCTAGCTGTGTCCAAAATCACGATCACGATATCAATATTTCTTAAATTCAAAGAATACAAATTTTCCACTAAGCCTACACAAGGATAACAACCCCTTTACTTTCTGAGATG